GGAATGCTCTCCACACTGAAGTTGGCTGGGAGATCTTTTGTTTTCACATGAAAAGTCAGCTAGAGTCCAACAATATCATGGATGTACACCCCTAAAATAGAAGTGATTTCAACAGAGTGTATCACATTCTTTTCTTTCACATGTCCCTGTGAAAAACAAAGAAGGTGAATCTTCTATTTAGAGTGTTTTCATCCACTAGCATTAAGAAATAATTTTCAAGAGAATTAATTTTTAGTGAAAATTTCACCGTCATGTAAGTTTTCAGCAATGATGGTACATACCGCATAGTCTATTGAAAAGAACTATAGAAATAAGAAACATTCTGGCATGTTATAAAAACCCACTAACCTGCAAACATGAGACAGCTGTATAAAACAATTTTAAAGCTATAAGCTACTATTAGTATAATACAAATATAGATTTTTACTCTGGAATAAACGAGTATCTCCTGAATATCTAATAATGGAAAGACTGACAGGAAGAACACTGATTCCAACACAAAATTTCCAAATAATTAAAACTATGTAACAGCAATCACTATACATACTAGCTAAGCAATACAGCCTACCAATATGTTCATGTCTGCACAGATGCTTCTTAAGTTGTAAAAAAATAAAGCATTGACTTTTTATTTCCTTTGATATTCCTTTGGATATGTTACATTACAGAAAATGTTGGCTATGCCTCTGTGGATCTCTGAAAATAGTAGATATTCTGCTTAGTTGGATTTCTTACTATTTCAAGAGGGAGGAAGAGGAAGGACAGGGATAGAAAATGTTTAAAACAACTCGAACCATTTGCTCCTATATTGTCATACCTAGTTTTGGTACGGCTGTATGCTAGAATGCAATCTATTCCTTTATATTTATTTTCCATTCTGTTTTGCTCATTAGAAAAAAAAGAATCAACAAAACACATCCTAAATATTGTATAGGAGAACCTTATAAAAATAGGTTCAAAAATGTATTTTAAAAAAATTATTGCTTATGAAGTCTCAGTATCAAGAAACAATGTACAATGTACAAAACCTGCCTTTGCTCTTGCAGCTCTCTGGCTTTGAATGACAGAGACTGGTGAGTAACAAATAGGCTAGCTGCAAAACAGGATTTGGCTGCTGAACAGCAGCACTGACAGTCCCTACAATTTCAAATGGCAAAACTGGCCTGAATCAATTGCTCACATATCCCCGGAGCAGACACAAAGTGTGAAGCACTTGGTATGCTTTTACAGAAATTAACAGCAAGACAGACAGTATCAACTCTCTACTTCAAGGTACAGAGTAAATGTTAATGGAGAGGAACAAAAAGTAAGGATGGAAGTTGGGCCAAGCAGAGAGAAGAAAAGGCAGACATTCCTAGAGAAAGAAATTAATAAATTTGCACATAATTCCTAGGGTTCCCTCTAGGCAAGGTACCCAGTGCTCAGTCGGTATAAGAGCTTAATTCTTATTCTGTAGCATCAACAGTCATGAAGCAAACACTAACATAAAGATCACATTTGATTTGAGAATGATGTGGTAGCTGTACACAAGGTTACTCACAGCAAACTCTTTAGAGATGTAGGAACCCCATATTTCAGGGAACAAGAGAAATATTTTACCAAGAGTATCTAAAACAGAGGGCTTTAGAGAAAACAAAAAGTAAGTATCCATGTAATTAAATGGAATATATATATATATTTTTAAATACAATACAGAATAATACAATATCATACAGGAGAATTAGTTTAGCTAGGTTATTCACTGTGATACACAGTGGAGTAAAATCATCAGATACAGTAAATTATTTGCAACCAAAGACAAAACATAAAAGCAGACTGCTGATGGTTTTACAGTAGATTTTTTTTCTGCTCCTTTACCCAAGAAACAACATTTTATCAGTCTATTGACATTATATCATTACAGAGACTTTCAAAATGGTCAAACTGCCTACTCCTCTTAAATTAGTACAAGCCTACCTATTTCATTATAAATTTAATGTCAGAAAAGAAATCTTGGAAAAGTAAGGTTTCTTGTGCTAACCAGGATTACAGTGCTTCCCCCCCTCACAGTAAGGCTGTCTACTACCTGTAGCATTACTACATTTACGGCTGTTATGAAGTACCCCGCCTCTCATTTTTATTGTATTCAGCTGAATTTCTTCTTCACAACATTCATTCCACTCAAAATATACAAACTTTTTTACTTTAAAAAGCAGCTTTAAGGAAGACAAGTACTCTGTTTCTAAACAGCCGTGTACTGGCAGGAGACTATAAGCATATACACAATGTAATACAATCTGTAGTGGTTCAATGTCATTGAAGGAGGAATCAAGAACTGAAAAAGCACTAAGGACTACAAGCAATACTCTATCCACTGAAGGAAAAAATAGAAGTAAAAGTCCACAATTATTTATAACTGATTAACATAATTGCTTCATACTCTGTAGAAATAACCTAGGAATTGTAATTGACATAATTTCACAAATTTTCGCTCCATACCTTTAATCTAAAATTAACTCAAGTCTTTTCAGAAAGGCTCCTGTTACTTTTACAGAGTTTAAGTCATGGGAAGTCCAGAGAATGTATTTCAGCATCTGATAATTTAAGTTAAATTCAGCTGGTGGCCAGTCACAAGTGGTGTGTTTCCCAGAACTCATGGCCAGTTCTCTTTATCAATGATGTAGATGAAGGGATTGAGTGCACCCTTATTCAGCTGTTAGAGGACATTAAGTTCAGTGGGAGCATTGATCAGCTGGAGGGTCAGAAGGCTGTGCAGAGGGATCTGGACAGGCTGGATCGATGGGACAAGAACAATACCATGAGGTTCATCAAGGACAAATGCTGGGCTCTGCCCATGACCCAGCAGTGTGCCCAGGTGGCCAAGTGCATCCTGGCCTGTACCCGCAACAGTGTGGCCAGCAGGACCAGGGCAGGGATCGTCCCACTGTACTTGGCACTGGTGAGGCTGCACCTCAAATCCTGTGTTCAGTTTTGGGTTTCTCACTCCAAGAAGGGCATTCAGGTGCTGGAGCAAGTCCAGAGAAGGGCAATAGAAGAGCTGTGAAGGGTCTGGAGAGAAAGTTTTATTTGGAGCAGCTGGAGTTGTTCCGACTGGAGAAAAGGAGGCTCAGGGCGAACCTTATCACTCTCTACAACTACCTGAAATGAAGGTGTGGTGAGACAGGGATCAGTCTCTTCACCCAAGTAAAATGCAGTAAGACACCAGGAAATGGCTTCAAGGTGCATTAGGGGAGGTTCACGTTGGATAGAATGAGAAGTTTCTTCACCGAAAGGATGATTAACACTGAAAGGGTGAAACAGTCTCCCCAGGGAAGTGGTGGAGTCACTGTCCCTGGAAGTGTTCAAAAATAGAGTAGCCGTGGGACATTGTGATAAGGTGCACACCATGGGCATGGTGATATTCAGTCAGAAGTTGGACTTGATGAACTTGGAGGTAATTTCCAACCTTAATCATTCTATGTTTCTATGACTTCTGTGTTTTCAACCCTTGAATTAACAATTTTCAAGCAGTCACCTTACATTTTTATAGTATGTTATATATATATCTATCTATATACATGTCGGGGGTGGACCAGAAGAAGCCTACAGAGAGTGGCGAGAGATGCAAAAGAACTACAAAGAAGGCTCAGAAGAAGAGATCTCTATCGAAGTCTCCTAGTAACTGCAGCTGCGCAGAACTGCTTGGGACCCAGCTACAAGGCCGCAGCCTTGCAGCTTCTGCAGATTCCCAAGTCTCTACCCTCAGGACAATCCTTCCATTCTTCCCTAAGCTCTCCCTTCCCCTGGCGTGACCAGACATATTCTATGCAGCCTATCCCTCCAAGTTCACTTATCACTAGCTCACGGGATTCGAGGTTCCCCAGCAAGAAACCCCCCTCTATTCCTGAACCTTCTGTATCCCCCTGTATATAAACTGTCTTCTTGTTTTAATAAACGCCATTTTGTGGGTCACATACACTTGTGTGTGTGTGTGTGTCCTGTCTCCCATACAAGATGTGCCGCTGGGTCTGTCGCGGGACCGAACCCCACCCGCGATATATACACACTTTAGATATGTCTTTCAAATTATCTTTAAAGGACTTGTGAAAACCAAATTTTAAAATTTCGAACAAAAAATGTAAAACAGATTACCATTTGAAGGACAGGCTACCAATTTTAAACCACTCCAAGCTGCATTTCCACATTTAGAAACGCAGCTACAAAAGACAAAAACATACAAATGGAATGAAAGTAAACTAAAAAAGAAACAGAATATTAACAGTTCAAAATGAATGAGTACAAGCTAAGGTAGACCAAGAACTATACTGGAAACAGTGTGGGGCAGACCCAGAAGACTTATGCTTTCCCTGAGGCTTTGAATGGGCCACTAATCAATTCCTTTCTATCAGACATCATAGTCACACACACAGTGATAAATTAAGTAATTCACATGTAACATAGCAAGTATATTGCACTTATGCATATGTTCCGCTTGGGTACATCAGTTTTCTTGAATGACACTCTTTATTGTGTGATTTGTTTTATGCACATTTTTCAATGCCTAGATGGTAGAGATACAATGTAACAAACAGATCATACATCCTTTTACCTTCATAAATAGTTCATTGAGGTAAAAAGCCATAATAAAGAGACCTCACAAACATGTATTGTGTAATATTCCCACTCTGTTCTGGTTTCATCACCAGTAGAGTTTCAAAAGTGAAACTTCCACAGTTGACACTGGTTAAGCTTGTTATTCTTTTTTTGTGGAATGATAGGTTTGAATTACTTTTAATAGAACACAAAAGATTTTTAATAGTGTTAATGAATTACCACTATGTGTCAAAAGGCTCATCTTGATAAAACCTGGTTATTTATTCTTTACCTTAAACTTACCTTACCAGTAAACCTTAAAGGTTTACTGCTCTCTACCTGGCAATAATCATCACAATTCAGATTTTCAATCCATTTCAAGTTCTGGAACACCTTAATAGCAAAGCATACATTAATATACTACTCACCAATTTTAACCTTTGCAAAGGTATTCTGCTAGTGTCTATCGGAGTACGCTCTGTGACATTACCAAATCTGACTTCTGGGATGGCAATTGCACATATTACATGTGCCCACCTGTGAAAAGTGGCAAGTCAAAAACACCACCAAAAAAATCCATAGAAGTACAAGTGTTTAAGATGTTTCATTACTTGCTGTGTGTTTGTTTTTTGATTTTTTTTTTAAGCATCTATCTCTAGTTACTTCCTTATTAGGCTTTCTCAACTTCTTCAAAACATTTTAGCAAACTTTACAACACCACCACTTTGTTTAAATATAATTTCGGACTGAGGTTTTGTTGCAACATTTTTTTAGGTGTCTTTCACTTTCTATTAAGTGCAAAGTTTTCGTAGTTGTGCTATTCAGGTACGTATGTAAAGACCATGCTGTTTGGTTCGTGAGTAATTTATCACGTACAGCATTTTGCATTAACATTACTCAGACATGAGTAACTATTTGTAGGCAACACACATGATCACAATCAGTCATATATCTACTGAAATGTAAAACAAAGTATAGTATCAGAATATTCTGTTTACAGATACAATGGCACAAAAGCATCAGCGCAATGCCCAACACGAACTGGATCCCCTTTAGCAGTGAAAGCACCTGCAAGTGCCTAGGATCAATGCTACATGTAAGACTTCAGTGCAACTTCAGGAAGTTTGTCAGATCATTTTATGTGCTTCCTATATTCATCAGAAAGCACTGCTATTATCCTTCAAATTCTGTTTCAATACATAAATATCAGAATAAGAAAGGCTAAACGAAACTTTTAAAAGCCTGAAATTAATACTGTATGTTTCACGGAATAAAAGAGAAGCTAATGACATTCTTAATAACAAAAAGCAGCCTTCTGAGATTACTTCTAAAATCTTTTAGGGGTACACAAGTAGTAAATATGAAGAAAGGAAAACATTTCTATTCTTTGACTCATATTTGCCTTATTCCCTGTCATTCACTGTACATCTGGTTTCATTACCCCATTTCCTCTATTTCTGTAAGCCCTGAATGCTTGTTTCACTTCCCTTTCTATATATCTCCAAGAGACACACCTTATTTCAGCATCTTAGCAGACTAACATCAGAATGTGGGCTGAAGCTGAAGGAGATGGAGGGTGATGCAGAAAATAGAAATAATTTCTCTTTCCTGCACTAGAGAAGTAGTATTTCAAAGAAGTCATCTTTGACAAAAACATCTAAAAAAGTATAATATGACACCCAGCAACTAAATATAAGCGCTGTTATGTGTCTTCAAAGTTGTATTTGTCAGAGTGTGAAATAACAGCTGCATATAAAGATGACATATCAATTAGCAAGTTATAAATTCAGCCCAAACAAAAGCAGATAAAGCTTACAGATCCATCATTTTATTATGGTGACAGCTTTGTTCATGTTTTAACTTAAAGAAAAGAGTCCCGCTTTAGGACTTTTTAAAATTTTTAATAACATCCTTTTTCTTTTCATTGCTGCCTGCCCACCTGCTAAACAACAGTCTTACCATCTAATTTTTATGGGATAGAAATGTTGTAAATAAAATGCCTCTTCAATCAATCTTTACACAAACATTTATACTCTGACAGCTCTCAGCCTAACAGACCCAAAATAATTGCTGTGTACTGCTGAAAAGAAGGAATCTCAACTCTCCTATATGGTAAATTGTTTCCTGCATGCACACATACCACATTTGATACATTAGCTTTTAAATGTAAGTAATACTCATCCTATATCTCTCATCACTATGTAAGGAGAAAAGAAGGAGCTAAGGGAATGCACATGTTAGATTTTACACTTATTGGAGAAAAAAGCCATACTTTTAACATATTTTTCTGAAAAACTCAAAATCTTGGAATGGTAGCTAATGCTGAAAGATAGTTGAAAAACTCTACAATGTGTAACAGCTATAAGGTATTATGGAAACAGGAAAACAGGTGTTGAACTGCTGTTACAGAAATCCCATTTCATAAATCTGTAACACTAACCTATAGAGCGACAGAATGTAAAGCCAAAGATTTTATGTATTGTTATACAAAGAAAGTCACTTTATGTAAACCTCTGTGGACTTTTTTCAATGAATAAATCTTATGAAATATTTGGAAAAATTTTCAATTGGTCCACAAAAAAAGATATACATATTTTCAAAGAAGTAACCTTTCAGCAGCAAATATTAAAAGGGCATGATAAATTCTACTGAGATATTTGTCTTCTTTTTTTTTTTTTTTTTTGGTGAGTAAAGCAAGTATCAAATTTAGGGGAATTTAAACTAAAAATCAGCTGAGAATTTTCATGTATTGGCCAAAACCTCCACTAGAATGGGTAAAATATTAATGTTTTTTGCAGGTAAGATATGGCCTGAGTTTCACATAAAAGTTTCTCCTAACTGAATAATTTACTAGTCATGCAACCCAATGCAAATCACTGATAAATAAATTCTTTCCTGCAAAGCAAAAAAGTATCTTGCACCAAGATCATGTCTTACCACTGAATTCCAAAGCATTAAAGAAAGAGTCTACATGATACTGCTAACCTACTAAAATAATCTAATTAATTATGAAATTCTAAATGCACAAAGACTGTTGTACTATTGGGCTTGACAAAATATTAAGCTGACACTTTTTCCACTTTATCTGTTAGGGTAACTTGCTATAGGGTTCTGTCATCCAGATACAATAAAAAATACTGATTCTGTTAATAAGCCAATGTCATCAACAATACTATTTTAAATATATTTGAATAAAAAAAGAACAACTTCAGAACTGAAAATTATTTCAATATGATTAAAATTAAATAACTGAAAATAGTGGGTTTAGGAGTTCAAAGGTATTGTATGGTAGTTTTCAGGAGCAAAGAGGAAAATACATTTTGCTGTTTGGTAAGACTTCCTCATGCAAACAGGGATAAATGAGCTTTCATTTACTTTCTTTACACAAAGGCCAGCAGATTAAAATTTGGAACAAGGAAGTGTGTGCAAATACTAAAACAAACGTACATTTTACTTTTTAACTATTTCACAAAATGCCAGTGGCACATTTGAATGGCAGTAATTCTAGTTCTGCAATGATTCAGCTTCAAGGGAAACTGTCAAGTAATTATGTTTACAAATGCTTTGCACATGGGAATGGATTGGGAATAAAGTTAAAAATAAGCACATACAAAAAAAATATATTACTTACTTTTTGTCAGTAGTTTGCTTTAATGCACCACCTCTCAAATTGCAGAGACAACATTCCTAAAAATAAATATAGTGTAGGAAAAAAGTTAGCATTATTTCCAGTTTAAAAATCAGTTTCATTTAGCTGATCTTGAGGATAAGCAAATTGTTAATGTAATTAATTACTGGGATACAAATTGCCACTTATAAGCATGGCATTTCCTTACAAGGCAAAAAAAAGGATACAGTAACAAAAAGTGAACTCATGTAAGTTAAAGAAAAAATATTAATCATTAAAGTGTTAATCATAAGCAAAGTGTCATAATCAATTTGAAAGTGATACTAAATAAACAAACAAACAAAACAAAAACAAAAAACAAAAAAGCCCAACCAACCAAAAAACAAACAAACAAAAAAAACCAAAAAAACTTTTAACCAGTACTGCTATAGAAAAGCTGGAATTGTCATACATATTATAAAGATAAAATGAAGTACTACAGCACATAATTAGTTTAATAGAAGTTACTGAGAAACTGACCCATAAGCTATTGATCCAACTCAATTTTTTTTTCTTTTTCTTTTGCTGCAGTATACCTTCACTGCTTTGATCATCAGTAAATTCCAGCTCTTTCAGGGTACTCAGTAAGGTGTTTCAGTGGTTCCCAGACAATATGCCAAAACTCATGGCTTTTCCTATCTCTGCTTAAAACTGAGCCTTTGAACAAATACAGTCTTTTCTACTTTTCAACCCTTCACTTCCTCTCTTCAGTCTCCTCCATTTCTGAATCTATTCTTTCCCTTTTTCATTTTTTGTTTCCCTTGTCCCTTGATAAGAACTGATGAGAAAGTATTTCCAATGTTATTTATTTTCCTTCCTGGTTTTCTGTCTCTACAAATAACCAAGTGTACAAAATGGAGTCAAGATATATATACAAGACTGTATACCTATATATGAGCCTCTACATTTAAGTTGCCCTTGCAGAAGAAAAAAAACCATGCAAACAAACAAACGAAATTAAGCCAAAGCAAAACTCTGAAGAACTGCTATTTAATACTCCATCTGACCTTACTTTAAAAATTCCAATAATGAAGACTAGAAATCTAACTGAATGTTATTTTACATTTCCCATGAAAATAACCTTTCCTAACGAGAAACCCAACAAAAAAACCAAACCAAAACAAAAGAAAAACCCAACAACAAACACAAAAAAACCCAAACAACTAAAAAACGTCACTGCTTTCTTGTGAAAATTTGGTCTTCCTTGCAATTTAAGCACACAAAATTTGCCTTATCAACCAAACCCATGAAGAGTAGGTAAACCATCCTGATACAGAGTACCCTTTCAACTATTTAATATTACTGTAGAGTTTTAATAAAGTGAATTGAGGTTAATTATTTTTTCCACAACAACCTGAGGATGGGAACTAACACATTCCAGATCACACTGCCCTTTGTAAAAGTAAACACTGATTATTAAATCAGGAAACCCAAAGGCTCAGAACACCACTTAAAAGGGGACTGAGCAGTAACAGATACTTTCAGCATATAAAGAACAATTGAACATTACAGGACTGCTATTGCAGTACTGCTTATAACATCTGGCAGCTTTTTCAAGAGAGAAACAGCTCAGATGGAGGACATCACTGCATAGGAGTCCCCCATTCAGCTGTTGGAGAAGAAGTAAAACTGTTCCTTTCAGGAACAATATTGCTATTCATATAGCTGCATCTTTGTCAGGTTCTCTTGCTGCATCTTAGGAAACCTGTTCTAGTATCAAGTACAAACAAGAGAGAAGGTCATTGGGAGTGGAGGGGCAGCAAAGAGAAACACAGAATTATTAAGGCTGGAAAAGACCTCCAAGACCATCAAGTCCAATCATTAACCTAACACAAGGTCCACCACTAAAACAGGCCCCTAAAGCACCACATCAACACGTCTTTTCAGCACTTCCAGAGGTTGTAATTCCACCACTTCCCAGGCACACCTTGAGGTCATTTCTTCTTCTATTGCGTGTAATTTGGGAGAAGAGCTCAACCCCTGTCTCATCGCAACCTCCTTTCAGGTAGTTCTAGAGAGCAATAAGGTTCCCAAGGAGCCTCCTTTTCTCCAGGCCAAACGATTTCAGCTCCCACAGCCACTCCTCATAGAGCTTGTGCATCAGACCCCAGGGCTGAGCCCTGGGGAACACCACTGGTGACAGGCTGTCAGCTGGATCCAACTCCATTCACCAGCATGCTCTGGCCTGGCCATCCAGCTGTGATTTTACCCATCCAAGCCATGAGCAGACAGTATTTCCATGAAAGTGCTGTAGAAGACAGTGTCAAAGGCTTTACTAAGGTCCAGGCAGACAAGATCCACAGCTTTTGCCTCATCTACTAAGGCTGTCACCCTATCATAGCAGGAGATCAGATCAGTTTATTTCAAAATTCATTATTTGAATAATGATGAACTTTTCCTGCTTCTAATAAGTACATTTCACATTCGAGGAAAACCTTCATCTGATCATCTGCTGTATAACTTATCAATGCAACTAGACCAAGAAGCCAAGGCCCTGAAAAATTCCACAAATAAATTAAGCTAAAATTGCACAGGAAATTTAGGCAGAAGGCAGAAGTCATATCTTTACCTACTAACTACAGAGCTTCCATGTTAGGGGGAAAAAAAAAGGGGAGGAAAAAAAAAGAAAAAAATATAAAAAGAGATTGAAAAGGGGGGCAAGGACAGCCCAGAAGAAAGAAAAGGTGACTATAAATATCCTCATTACAAGGTAGAAAACTATTCCCCTTATGTAGGACCTATAGGAACCAAATTTAATCTCCTCTCACAAACTACTTATAAAAATCTTTGGTGAGCAGGAACTGGTGGTGGATTCACAGTTATTCACTGTCTGCTGGATACAGGCTACAAGAAATTAGATTCCTAAGAACTTGTAAATTTCACCAGTTTTCAAACCAGACCCAGGTGGGTAGGACCACAGGCTTAAAGCCCATTAAAACTATTTTTCTTAATCACGGCTGCTTTGCAATATGTTGTCTATGTTCAGGCAACATGGCTATTACTTTAACTCCAGTTTCAACATACTGCAAGCAGTGAAAACTCAGGGGATCTGATATTTACAAAGAATAACATTCCTAATAAATGTATATTTATCATGGATGGTAGTGAAATCACACTAGCAACTATTACTCATGTCATTATCCATGAAGGACATAGACTGTGGGAGCTGGTCCAGAGGAAGGCCACAAAAGCAATCAGAAAGCTGAAGCACCTCACCTATGAAGGCTGAGAAAGTTGGGGTTGTTCAGCAGGGAGAAGGCTTTAGGGAGACCTTATCATGACCCTTCAATAGTTAAAGGGAGCTTTTAAGAAATATGGGGACAATAATTTTAGAAGGGGTAATAGTTTTACATTCAGATGAGCTATAAGGAAAAAGTTTTTTACAGTAAGGGTGGTGAAACACTAGAACAGGTTGTGCAAAGAGGTGGTAGATGTCCCATGCCTGGAAACATTCAATGTTAGGTCATGCAGGACTCTGAACAACCTGACCTAGTAGGAGATGTCCCTGTTTATGGCAGGGGATTTAGAATAAATGACCGTTAAGGGTCCTTTTCAACACAAACTATTCTGTGATTCTGTGATTCTATGTTCTCACTGAGGAAGAAACCATCTGTGCATCCCAGTGTGTTTGTTGTCAACCTGTATGTAAAAATCAGGATAGGAATGGATTCCATTATAAAGCACCACCGTATAACATATCCAATCTCTGATTCATTACTACTTTGTAAATCCTTTAAAGAAGTAATTTTGTCATTTGTGTTTGCATTATATAATAATTTCTTAAGCATATTACTTTATACTTATCTAAATTAAATCTTAGACCATTTAAAATTGCTCATCTCCTTTAAAAATCTCCGTAACAGTCTAGAATTACAAGAGAGTTTTCTTTCTTCCAGTATCTGTATAAAATAAGACATCTCCATACAATTTGCAAACTTTAGTACAGCAATGTTTATTTCATCTTTCAGCTTTTTAGTGGAGATGATGCATTTTTTTTTTCATAACAATACAGACCATATCCACTGTTTCTGGACTAAATGCTTTCCCTTGCATACTGTGAAACACTTTTGCAATCAGCAATCCTAATCTGATGTACTCATTTCTCTGTTTCAATCACTTTTGTAGACTCAACTGTGAAAACTCCACCCCAAGGAAGCAGCTGTTCAGGTCACTGGCTGTACAGAGTGTCTGAGCTTTATGTTAGTACCAGAGGACAGTGTAAGAAACGCCTGCAAGCAGGTGAATGATGTGCCATGCTTAATGGCAGAGCTCGAGGAAGAAGTGGAGAGACTAAGTATTAGGGAGAGTGAAAGGGAAATACACTGGTGAAGTTGCACCCTTTCAACCCCAAAAGAAGTCCATCAGGAGACAGTGAAGGCCTGCCCCTCCTGCCATCATGCAGATGGGGCAAACCAAGAAGATGGCAGGGAATGGAAACAGGTCCTCTATCAAAGAGGTAAAAGAATCCCCTCCTGACCCCCACTGCCTCCCCGGGTGCTCTTAAAGAGCAGGTTTGAGGCCCTGGACCCAGAGAGTCAGGCAAAAGGCAGTCAAGAAGAGGATCTGTCTGGAGGGTCTCCCTGTTGCACCTTATCTACCAGACAGATCACAACCACAGCTATAAAGAAAAAAGAAGGGTAGTTGTAGTAGGCAACTCCCTTTGAGGGGGAACTGAAAGCCCTGTATGCTGAACGGACCCATCCCACAGAAAGGTCTGCTGCCTTTCTGGGGCCCAGCTGAGGGATAGGAGATTTCCTGAGCTAATCCAGCTCTCGATTATTACCCACTGTTGGTAGTTCAGGCTGGTAGTGATGACACTACTGAAAGAGGTCCCAGGCTAAGTAAAAAGGATTTCAAGGTGCTGGGTCGATTAGTTAATGGGACAGGAATACAGGTGGTGTTCTCCTCCATTCCCACAGTAGCAGGGATGAATGAGTGTCAGAGGTGGACCAACAGGAGCCTACAGAGGATGGAGAGAGATGCAGAAAGGCTGCGAGGAGGCCTCAGAGGAAGAAGTTCT